ATTTCATTTCATTTTTAAAAGAATGGATTATTTTTCGAGACAATGAGGCCACTTACATACAAAACTTATAAAATAAAGATCCTGGACGGAAATATCACTATTTATTAAAGACAGACTATTTTTAAGGAAGATGATATCACTTACACACAAATATTTGAGAGGGAGCTTCCGATAAAAATTCAGCTCGAGAGAGGAGTTCACTGTGTTTCGACCAGAGAGAAAAATCTCATAAGTTTTCTAAGGTAGGAATCTTCACCTCTTTGAATTTAAATTCTACTAACATATTATTTTATTCTTTCATTACGTTACAGGTGTGAGCGTTAGTTTACGCTTTAAACACCTAAAGCTTTTATTACGTTACAGATGTGAGCGTTAGTGTACGCTTTAAACACCTAAAGCCCACGACCTTTAGTGGACGTGCAAGAGCAAAGAAACACAAAGCTTTTAAAACAAAAGCTTTTAAAAGTAACGATGGTCCCTAAGGACCATTATGTTCAAACGAATTGTCATGTATTAATAGTTTTTTTTTTTTTTTAAAAAAAAAAAGTTTATGATTGTTATACTATATTAAGTGAAAATTTAGTAATATTAGGAGTAGAGACAAGGAAGTAGTTAAGATTGATGGTCAGAAAGTACAAAAAAGACTGCACTTTCGATATCTTGGTTCGATAATCCCGGAAAATAGAGAGATCGATGAAGATGTTGGACACAAAATTAGAGCCAGGTGGGCGAAGTGGAGATGTACAACTAGAATTTTATGTGATCGCCGCATACTAATGAGGCTGAAGGGCAAGTTCTATAGGATAGCGGTGAGACGAGCTTTGCTCAATGAGGCGGAATGTTAGGCAGACAAAAACAAATATACCCATAGAATAACTGTAGCGGAGATGATAATGTTGATATAGATGAGGGGCAAGACAAGCAATGAATTTATTCGAAAGAATTTTGGCGTGACACCAATAGACGATAAAATGAGAGAGAGTAGACTTAGGTGGGCTGACCATGTGTAGCGTCGACCAAGTACAATACCTGTTAGGAGATGCAAATTAGTTCAAGTGGAATGACTGAAAAAGGCAAGGGGTAAGTCTAAAAGAACTTGGTTGGAAGTAGTCCGAAAAGATATGACGACTTATGGCCTCACTGATAATATGGCCTTTAATAAAGCATAATAGAGAACCAGGATTCATATAGTCGACCCCAATTAATTGGGAAAAGGCTAAAATGATGATGATGATGACCCAAGCTATTTATAGTCTCGAACTTCAAGTTCCGATTGAAAAATGTTGTATACTTTTTTTACATGAAAATAATTCAAGAGTTCAAATTCTGACCCAGGTTCAAAAATAAGTTTGGAACTTAAACATTCAAATTGATTTTTCCCAAGAAAATGTAAAATTATTATCTACAATTTGGAAAAAGAAAATAATGCAAAACAGTGGGCCTTCAAGGTAAAATATTAAATAAAAAATCAATTTGTAAATAACAATCATGAATGCAGAGTTTATGTAACTTTCTCTATTTCTATTAGTGGGTATGATATACTTTTGGGAAATTTGCAAAAAATGGTTGTTTTATTTTCTGAATGATAAAAAAGGGAAAGTATATAATGAGACCATTTACCTTTAATACATGTGTTGATAATTGTCTTGAATTCTTGATCCCTATTTTATGGGATTGTTTTTTCTTTAATTTGGGTTTTCAGATGATTTTGATAGAACATTATTTAGGATCTAAGTTTATGGATAAGTCCTACTTAAGTTAGGATGGGTCTACAAGTACATAGAGATAAAGTTAAATTTCACAATTTTATGAAAAAAAAAAAAAAGCCATCATGTACACCTCTTTGGGGTTTGCTTTTTCTATACAATGAGTTATTTAGAGAGAGAAAATATACAGGAAATAGAGGAAACTTTTTGGAGGTTTTTGCTAGGAGAGAAAACTGTAAAGAAGAAGGCTTGGTGAGAAATTGAGTATCTGGTTATCTAGAGATTGAGTATCTAGTTCTCTCAAGTAAGTTGCTTGGTAAGAGATTAAGTATCTGGGTCTCTCAAGTAAGTTGCTTTGTAAGAGATTGAGTATCTGGTTCTCTCAAGTAAGTTGTGTTGTAAGAGATTGAGTATTTGGTTCTCTCAAGTAAGTTGCTTTATAATTTTCTTTCTTTGATTTAGTAAAAACATCGACCGTCTTCACCCGTGGATGTAATCACATATGTAACAAACCATGTAAATCAAAATTGTTTTTTTCTAAAATTATTTATTTTCCGCTTTATTTTTGTTGCCTGTTGTTTGTTTTTGTCAATTCTATTTTTCTCGTACTTTATTTATCAAAAATCAACCCGTCGGGTTTAGAGCTTCCGTATACAACAAGTGGTATCAAAGCCCGATTTGGGGTTATTGGTGTGATTGTAAAGGTTGTAGACACCCATTTTAAAAACTGGTAAATTTCGTGATTTACCTAATCATAGACAACCATTAGGACCATACTATTTCATAAAATCCCCGAACCATAGAACACCGTAGTCCAAGGTCCAATTTCTGTCCATAAAAATACATTTTCATGTATTTTTTAGGGTTAGACCATCTTAAGATAAGAGAGAGCTAGAAACCTGAGTTTTTGAGAGACCAGAGAGAAAACCGTGAGAGATCATAGTTCTAAACAAGTTCTAACTAAACGCTAGCCATTAAGCCTGCAACCTTATGCTTAGACCAAATCTAAGATAATCATTCAACCAAGTCAAGGCTTGGTCAACATTGAAGAGAGATAAAGATGATCCCTGGTGTAAAAAAATAAATATCACTCTACTCGATCATAAAATAATAATATCCTAAAATTAAACATGGACCATCCAAATTTTGCAATTTAAATGTTACGAAATTCAAAATTGAATAATTTTCTTTTGAAAATAATTAGTGATTCCTAAGTGTATCCTATGTTTTAGATCCAAATAATCATCCTAGGTAGCTTTTTCGCGTGAGGGAGTGTGCACAGTATAGCTTAGTGTAGTCACTCGTGAGTTATTTTAAGGTCCACTGTTAATTTTTAAATAAATTTCGAAAATATTTCTCTCTTAAGTTCTGGTCGCAAAAGTTCTAGACAAATTGGAAAAGGACCACCCTTTGAACTTCTTATTTGTAAATTTTTAAAAAAAATGGAGAGAAAAATAAAGGGAAAAGAATGGCCCTCCAGTTCACAGCTGGACATCTGAAGCTCAAATGCTTGCCGATTTTGGTTACTAATCGGCGATTTAATAGCTTGGAGAAGCAGCACAAGAGGAGTGGATATACGGTTTCAGAGAGGAGAGAAGGAGACGGCCGCCCAATTCCTCAGCGATTTCCAAGTAAGGCCTTGATTGCTCGAACAGCCATTGCAGTATTTGCCCTGGGTTTCATTGACGCTGGGTTCGTCTCTCTCTCTCTCTCTCTAGAATTTGATTGATTGATTCATTCATTCGTGTCCTAACAGGAGAATGAGAAAGACCCATGTTTTAGAAAAGCTAAACTTCTCTCTATAGATTGGTTCGTACTTTATAGTTTAGGGAAATATAGATTGGTTCATACTTTATAGTTTAGGGAAATGAGAATTGGGAAAGACCAAAGTTAGAGAAAGATATGACTCTTTCTCTCTAGATTTTGATTTGTATTTGAGTGGCAGAGAGAAAAACCCCTTTTTCTTCTCTCTAGATTTTGATTGATTGATTTTCATTCCTTCATATTGATAGAAGATGAGAATTAAAAAATACCCATTTTTAGAAAGACAAAATTCAGTAATGCTGGACATAAAAATTGAGAAAGACCAACTTAGAAAAGCAGAGAACAGAGATGGAAAGGACTTTCCATTGATTCTTTATATAGCTAGGTTTTGGCTTGTTCTTCTGTTAACTGAGGAGATAAAAGGGTTTGATGAACACGATAAAGGAAAATCCTTTCTCTATTTAGGAGAGAATCAGAGAAGAAAGACTATGCTATTTCTTTATCTCTCTAATCCAATGGAAGTCCTTTCTCTATTTAGGATAGAATCAGAGAAGAAAGATTATGCTTTCTCTCTCATTAATTCTCTGTTACTTTTTTCTTTCCTCTTCTCTCTCTCTCTCTCTCTCTCTCTTAGTACTGTACGGTAGTAGGTTAATTTTACTAATAGTAATAGTATTACTACGATAAGACGCGACCCATGATAGAAATTAGAAATACTCCCTCCCCGCCTCTCTCTCTCTCTCTCTCTCTCTGAATCTGATACTCAAGACCAGATGACTGTGATAGACATTTGGAATTATGTCCTTAATATTTGACTTTAAGCCTAATTTTGAATTGTTCTATTGATTTGAGTTGAATGATATAGGTTTTGTTTTATAAACAACAGTTTTATGCATTAAGCATCATGGTCTACTAAATTTTTATGAAAAAGTATAAAAAGAGACAAAGAGGTCACAATTACTATTGTCTTTTAGATTTCAAATAAGGTGGTTTTGAGCAGTCATTGACTATACTCAAAATTCCATTTTTTTTTTTTTCAAACTTCACGACACACCTCTTGCCATCCAATTTGATATCTAATGGCTAAAAATAATTCAATTTTTCTGTTTTTCAAACTTTGTGACATACCCCTGGCCATCCAATTTGACATCTAATGGCTAGAAATAATTGTAATCGCCTTGTAAAAAAGATAAATAACTTATTCACGTGGCCATAAAGGGTAACTCCATCCTAATTGTCCTGGGATGGATCATTTTGTAGCTGAGAATTAGAAAGTTTATTATTATTTTTGGGTAGTTCAGCTGTAGGAATTGAACTTGTGACATAGTACTGCTAAACGTTAGCTGCGGACCACTCAAGCCCAAGCCCAGTTGCTATTATAAATATTATTATTGGAAGTGTCCTAGTCCCCTAGTCAATTGTATAATGCATTTGGGTTCCCGTTCTTAACTCGTAAAATTTTGTTTACAGATGTGGAATTTGGTTTATTGGGTTTGAGGAGTTATAATTTGTAACTTTCTTATGTAATCAGAATGAAATTCTTGTGCAATGAAAAAAGAAACAAAAATGCAGTATCCCATGCAAAGTTCAAGAAAAACTGACGCTATATCCATATAGAAAGTCATATTCTGGCATAATTGTACTCGGCGTCATCATCAGAGTCTTTTCTCAATAATTTAGGATCCGCTACACGAATCCTGGTTTGCCAATCTACTTTATCAAATGCCTTCGGCATTGAGCCTGGGCTTAATTGGTTAGATTTACAACGCTACATCCAAGGCTCAATTCCTACCAAGGATAAGGGCCCTCTCCCCACTGACTCACCCGAGAAAAAAAAAAAAGTGCCTTCTTGAGCAATATAGAATTTTCCTGGAAAATTAATGAAATAGATAACTAAATTTTAGTCTAAGATTTGTTTGTTAACATGTTTCTCACGCCCATGATGTGTTTGTTTTCGCATTCTGTTCAGGTATAGTGGTGATTGGTCTAGGATTGGGGCCATTTCTAAGGAAACTGAAGAGCTTCTGAAAGTTGCTGCTTATTTGGTGACACCTCTATGCTTGTCTTTGATTTTTCTGATCAGAGAGGAGAAAACCTGAGTATGGGTCTATTAAATTTTGTAAAGGAGATGTTTTCCATTCTATATATCAGAACATTTATTTGTATTTCGTTTGAGTGGAAGTTGTCATGTTTATCTGTCTTGGTTTCTAAGAGTTTTGAATGTGCTGGACTCTGTCATGCTTTGAAATTGCAGGGAAGTTACCATGCATTTCGATTTGATTTCATATTTCACAGCTGAATTTTGGGATGCATTTCCTAAAATTGAAATTGGGTCCACTGGAAATGTCCAATTCTTGTCTGATTTTTTTTGAGTTTAGGCAAGATATCGTCAAACTGTCTTCTGATTTTGGTGGCATTTCATTTAATTAATGGTTGGATTTCAATTGAACCTAGGTGGATTTTGAGAAAAATTTAGGTCAAAATTAAAACTAATTTGTTTGATATTTGATATTGGGTAAGATAATGGCTCTAGTAGTTGTAAATGGTTGTCTTCTAGTAACCAAGACTTGGAAGAAACGCAAAAAATAAACATGCCTGTACTCTTTAGGCTATTTCCAATGCCTAATGAAATTTGATGTTTTGGACCGTGTTATCTTTATTTGAAAAAGTGTAAAGAAATTTTCAACTTTGTAAGGCCTTCTTATCCACCTTTACAAGTCTTCTTATCTTTGATCAAACTCACTCTGCCATCATTCTCTTTTGGTAAAATCCAGTTGTTTCAACTCTCTTACCTTTAGTTGCTTTTTAATATTTTTTTGGAAACATAAGGATTAAGGTTGGGCAAGCTATCGGTATATTCACATGTATAATTTATATGTTCATCGAGAAATCCAAGCATATGATCAAAATTAGATGATTGAAAGTGAGCATCAACAACAATGTTGCACATTAATATAGTATGATAAACACACTTGGCACAACTAGCGACATTGTTCTTACCTCATTCCTAGGTGTATGATTATGATCGGTCAACTGATCTTCATAAATTTCACATTATGTAAATTATGTGTATAGAGACAGAAAAATGATTCCCTTTAAAGTTTTGGGGTAAAAGCTTAGTTAAGGCAGTTTTGATCATTTTGGTTTCATATTCGTCATATATATTCATGGCTAGGGGCAGAGGAGGAAGAACCGCATAAAAGGGAAGGAGAATGGCTCAAATGTAACAATATAGCAGTCACAAGAGTTATTTGACAAAACTTCAGGATAAATGTAAGAACTTGAAGTACTGGGAAAAATCTCACACGATTGAGCAAGGAATGGTAGTGAATTAAATGCATGAATAAAAAAGAAATGAGCATGGCCGACTGATTTCGAAAGGACTTTAGGTGAAATATTTCAGTTCATGTGAGATATCTCTAGCTTCTTTGGATATTGGATGGTTTCCATATCGAGAGAATTTCTTTTGTTTTGGTGAATAGAGAAATTTTATTAAATGGGAAATTTTAGAGGACCATAAAAAGCTAAGTAAAAAAAAAAAATTGAGAAAATGCTAAAGGGGGAGCTTTACTATCATAAAAAGAAAGAAGAAAAAACTCCATTATACTTGTTATGAACTCCATTATGAGGGAAATCCCTAGGCTTTCTAGCCCTCTTCAGGAAAAACAACTATTAATCCAAACGAGTATAATCCAATACTATATATTTTATGTGAAGACTTCACATGGGTTGGGGTTGTGGTGGTAGCACCACTTGTGTCCCAGCTAAGATTTAGGCATTTATTCTCACCTAACGCATTCAATAACAACTAATGATTTAAAAAACATGAAGGGCGCTCATCATCCCCACTGAATTACCCAAAAAACAATGCATGTGATTGCTGACCTCCACCATCCATCAAGTTTGATTAATATACGTTTTTAAAACCCAACAATTTTCGATCTTGGTGGTCGATCTAGATGTGGATTCAGTTGGGGCCGAACCGGTTCTAAAATGGTATGAGTCCCAGCCTTGTTTCCCACAAAACCCCCCGTTTCATTTTTTTCATTTTTCTTCATGCTTATCTAATGTTTTTTGTGGGCCCCTTAAATCCTTACCTTATAAACCTCTATTTTAATTTTAATTTTATTTATTTTAGTTTTTAACATTTGTTTTAAGATCACCGATCCAGATGATTTGAGAATAATCTGGATCTCTAATTCAGCTGATCCAAACTGGGATTAGGGGTGGGCGATCTGCCTCGCCAATCCATTTTTTAAAACAGTGATTAAGATCTTAACCATGGGTGACGTAACTCTTACTGTAGCTTACTTAAGTCAACACAATCACCTTTTTTTAAAATGTGAGCTTTGTATAAAGACGAGGCTCTAAACAATCAAATAAAAACACACCTTCAAATAATGTTAAGAAATGTGGTTTCAATACTAGAAATCTTTGTGATAGCTTTAAAATATATTTTCATATCTAATTATAAAATTTAAAGCTGCAGAAATAGTATAGATCAAGCAGATCTATGAAAATCTTGAAAATTGATAGTCCAAAAATACTTTATAAGATGCACTATTTCCAAAACTTGAAATCCATTTTTTTTTCTGATGTCCATGTATATTAAGGTCGAGATGATCAATTGATGATATTTGAGCATCAAAACCACCTCTTTTAGTGAAATTTTTTATATGCGCTCTTGATTGTTTAGAGCCTCACACTTATATAAACTTTTTCCTTTTGTAAAAGCCCATATCTACCAAGGTGGCCAAAAAGGTCACTAGCGACCAGATCCTAACCGGTTAGGTCAAAAATAGCTAATTCTTCCATCCAGTGGGCCAAACTAGATCTATTGGTTGGTTAGTTTCAATTTCAATCAGCCATATATGGAGATCTAGTTCAATCTTTACAACAATGACCTATACTTCTTTTAATATATGACTCACAAAAATATTTTCATTTGTCTCCAAAATATTGTCCATTGCCTTCTCTCGTTGGATTGCTAAAATATGGAGGGCTCCAAACGGGTTGGGTTGACTACTAAGAATTTACGAGTTGTAACTTAGAGAGGACCCCGACCCCGACCCCGACCCCGACCTAGGCCTATACCTGAGTTAGGCCAAGCAAGCTGCCCTAGTCGAGGTCCTGGACCCAGACGTGATCTGTCAGGTCTTGATATGTTCATGGACTTGAACTTGCTCGGGGAGATCTGTTAGGTTCCCTTGGGGTCAGTCTGTCAGGTCCCCTAAATCCGCCTGATTGACCCAACCCACTTACTAACCTAATTATAGTTTAAATTCATGTTTTAAAACCATCGATCTGGATTACAAATCGTTGATATGGATCAAGAAGAGAGGGTGACTGGCCGATATACTCTTGGAATAAAGTATCAACCTAATCTCTCTATTTTACCCTAATCCTCATGTTTAATATTAAGGTCCTGTCAGCCCAAGAGCTGATAGCTACAATGTCAGTCAATGGTCCAGATTGAATCTGAGCCGATCTGATGGTCACGACCTTATTTCATGTTTGAATTTTCATTTTTTATTTTATAAATCCAAATTATTTGTAATTTGAAACTTCTATTCTTTAAAAATAGAAGAATCTAATAAAAATATAAAAAAATAATTATCAAAATATAAATTGACCAAAATACCCCCAAAACATTTTAGAAGTATTTTGGTCAATTGATATTTTACAAATTATTTGTTTGTTTTATATTTTTATTAGGTGTGTCTCGATGAAAAGAATGAACGCTTAAAATTTCAAGTGATTTGGATTTGTAGAAACCAAATGAAACTTTAAATGTGAAATGAGATTGTAACCGTCAGATCAGCCCAGATTGAATCTGGGCCATTGGCAGATACTGTAGTAGTCAGCCCGTGG